ATGTATGCCCAGGACCTTTTTGGCTGATGCTCCAGGCTCAGGAACATGCACCGGTTTTCTTTTTTGGGGGGGGGGACTACGCAGGAGTCACAAAAATGAGTTATAATTGCACACTGTGCCAATATACAGTTTCGAATTGCAGTTCGGGCAATGTATACAACCTGTCTCTTATACACATCTAGATGTGTATAAGAGACAGCACACACACACACACACACACACACACAACAAAAGAAAAAAGAAGATGAATGACTTTCCTTGCTTTCTCCCCCGCGGGAGTCACAAAAACGGGTTATAGTTGCACTATGGGCCAAGATACAGTTTGCAATTGCAGTCTGGGCAATGTATACAACCCAGCTTTCTGGCCAGGTAAGGTGCCCAAACTGGAATTGCAAACTGTATCTTGCCCCATATATAATGCAATTCTAAGTCGTTTTTGTGACTCTACTGAAGTTACCCCTTTGAACGAAATTGAAATCGAGCAATTTGGCAGAGAAAAGGATAAACTTTTCTCCTCAGCTGAGGGCCCTGGATGTATCTGGACTTGCGATACATCCAGGGGGTCCAGAGTCTTAAGAACGCCGTGCCCTCAGGAGCCAAAAAATTGGGCCAAATCACTTGGTTTCAATTTCGTTCAAAACATAAACAATGTCCATTTTGACGAAATGGCAGTTTTTCAGCAAGTCAGAGAGAGGGGTTGGAAATCGGGCTGCAGGGAGTAGCTAAGGGAAAAAGGAGGTACTCTCCTCCTATGTTAGTGTTGGTTTGTAGCTGAATCTGCCTAGAATCACGACCAGGTTCACTGATTACTATCCCAGCCATGAGACTTGAAAAATGCATACCTTAGGTTCGTTGTCAGGTTACCTGCGTATCTGATGAGGACAGCTCTGACGGTCTGCAACTCCAACTCCACATCAAACAATTTATCTCCAGGCTGCCTGCTCTGTATAATCTCCTTTTCCAACCCATACGGATATAAATCTTCAAAGCCATAATTATATACAAAAGGAGGAGGAGGAGGAGGAGGAGGAGGAGGAGGAGGAGGGGGCGAAGATGGAGGCGGCGGCGGCGGCAACAGTTGCGGCGGCGGGCGGAGGAGGAGGAGGAGGAGGAGGAGGAGGCGGAGGAGGGGGAGGAGATGGAGGCGGCGGCGGCGGCGGAGGAGGAGGAGGAGGAGGAGG